TCCCTCTCTCCCTCTCTCCCTCTCTCTCTCCCAGCCGCACGCAACCACCTGCCTGGGGAAAGCCCAGGCCCCACTACCAAGGGGCTTGACGGGAGGAGGCTACAGCCTGAGAGTCCTGTCTGTCTCCTTGATATTCAGAGGAAGCCCAGCAAAATCCCTTGAAGGTGAGCGGATTCTTCCTTTGAAGGTGAGCAGATTCTGTTTTCTTTCGGATGCAAGAATCAAAAAGAGCAAAACTTCCACCCAATCCCTAAAATGCTTTGTGGACAAGTGTTTTTGCTTTAGGGAAAATTCGTTGCTCTGCATAGTACGTTCAAGTAGAAAACTTAAAGGTGTATCCTTAAAGGTTACGTGCGAGGACTCTTCAACGCACTAAGAAGGAATCAGGTTCAACTGAACCACCGTACGTCACCACGCGGCCAAGCTGGGAATGCTGCTCAGACACTCAGGGGTCTGTGTGATCCACCTGTGGGCCTGGGGTCACTAGGGGCCTCTGTCAGGAGGGAACTCAGCACCGAGGCCTGGCCCAGAATGACTGACACGCTCTGGGCTGAGAGTCACAGTGGCTGCGGGGGAGGAGAGAACATCAGGGAGGACGGGAATCGACTTGCTTTCTGCACATTTTAGATCTCCCGTGTGTTAGCGGACGGGTGGGGCCCTCAGGAGCACAGGTACCACGGGGACAGCGGTTGGCTGGGGGAGGGTGTGACCTCATGGGACAAACACAGCCCTGGGGGTGGAAGGAGGCGGGCTGGACTCTGGTGGACAGACGAGGCACACCGTGTGTTCCAACTGCTGGGCGCGCCCGGGGCCCGCGTGCCCGTCAGGGGCAGCAGCCCTGCGGTCCCCAGCATGACAGCCTCTCTGGGGCCTTCGGTGAGGAAGCCCTGGCGCAGCAGCTCCGGCTGCTGCGCGTGCAGATCGCACGTGAGTTTCCGGGGGACCTCTCAGTAGAGGCCCAGCCCGTGACCCCAGCACCGCTCCAGTGCCGAGCCGTCACCCGGCAGGGGGCACGCCCCCCCACAGGCCCCGCTCACCCGGACACCCACCTGGCTCTCGAGGGGCATGTTGTACACCTCCGAGTCCAGCAGCATGGTGCAGGCGCTGAACGGCACCGCCTGGTTCGCGATGGTCCTCGCCGCCCGGCAGTGAACCCGCAGGATCTCCTGTTCGCAGGAGACGATCAGCTTCTCCTGGAAGGGGGGGGTGGGGGGGCTGGTGAGCTGAGCGCCACCCGGGCCAGGCGCCCTGGGCCCGCGGCTGCCCGCTTACCCGCTCGATGCTGTGCTGCAGGCGCAGCTTCCCACGCACGGCCTCCTGCTGCTTGAACAGCTCCTTCAGGGGCTCCGCCAGGGAGGGAGGGGGCGCGATCTGCGGTCACAGGGGGAGACGGGGGTCAGCGGGGGCCGTGAATCACCCCAGCCGCCCACTTGCAGGAGTCACCCCGGAGACCACGGTTCCCGTGAAGACGCGGACGCGCTGGGGGTGCCTGTCCCCAAGGGTAGGTGAGCGAGCGCCCGACCCCCCCCCCCCCCCCCCCGCGTGTGGCCGGGAGGAGGGCGGCCGGGGAGGGGGCGGCAGAGATGGGGGAGGCGAGGTTAGAACAGAGGGCATCTGCACCTCGGCCCCTGCGCGGCCAAGAGGGGATGGAGGAGGAGCAGGAGCAGGGTGTCCTCTGTTTACCGCGGGCTTCACGCATCCTGAGTAACCGTGAGACCCACTGGGACACAGCTGCCCAGAAGCCACACGAACAGGACAGCTGGGCCCGCCCCTCTTCCCAGGGCGTCAGCGAGGCAGAGGGCTCGCCGGGGCACTACCCCCAGATGCTGGAGGCCACCCCTGAACCCGGGAGGGCGCTTCTCCCAGGAGAAGCAGCCGGTGCTTCCGAAACACACAGGAAACGCGTCCCGTGTCACAACAGCACCAGATATGGGCTGGAGCCTCTCGTGAGGCCAGGAAGCGAGAGCGTGTTCAGGTAGGAGCCCCTCCCGGGTGGCCGAGGCCAAGTAGGGTGCGGTGGCTCACGTGGCCACGACCTCGGGCTGGAGGGGACGAATAAATAGCCCACGGTACAGTGGCCGCCACAGACAAGACCCTCTGAGGGGCTGGACTCGAGGCCCGAGCTCAAGGTATACGTGCTCTCTTCCAACTTTTCGGTCCAAAATTCTCAAGACCCGAGAGGAAACCACCCAGCCGGGTCTTCTCTGGCCGCACGTCCTGCCCATCACGCCCCCGGGGCCCAGGGCGCCGGCCTCCCGTTGCCTCTTGGGCGCCTGCGGTGGTCTCTGTGTAGGGGTCTTGTGTGGGGCTGTCGTGGGTGTGAGGTCACCTCCGTTTCACCCTCCCCGGCTCCACAGGGTGTGGGAATGAGGCCTCGGCCTGCCCTCACCCCCAACAGCCTGGGCCTGGCTGCGGGGCGACAGGCTGTGAACCGGAGCCCGCCGCTAGAGAGGCCTGAGCTCCAGGAGACACACAGGCTGCTGCGGGGTGAACTCGGGTGGCCGGGGGTCCAGGAGGAGGCAGGAGCATGGCTTTCTCTCTAGTTTCCAAATGTTCTAGGTGGCCACGGTGCTGTTTGTCTAAATTTTAGTTACTGAAACCAAACAGCAGAAAGGTCTCACTGACCAGGGATCCCAGGCCAGGTTCCCCTGCATCCAGTGCCTCGGGCTCCCCCTCTCGGCTCCACTTCCTGCCTGGGAACAGGCGGCGCAGGCCGAGGTCTGAGCGCAGGACCCATCCCGTGCAGCACTGACGGCGGTTACGGGGGGGCTTCTCCCAGGCCCGAGAGACAGAACAAGCAGAAAGCTGTGCTTTTTTCCTCACGGGGGTGGGGGTGGGGGTGGGTTGGTCAAAAAATGAGGCAAGTCCGCCACACGGGTGTGGATGGGTAGCACCGCAAGGCCTGGGGGCCGGGGCGGCTCTGGCTACCAGTGAGCACAGGTGGCTGAGATCAGCTTTACTGGCCACGAGGCCTGTGCCTGCTGCCTGGGGGGCGTGGGGCGGGCGGGGCAGCAGCACGTGGAGGGTGCGCGCTCCCCGCGTGGCTCCCGCCTTCGTGTGGCAGGACCTGCCAACGGCCCGCGTCTGGGCGTGAAGAGGGGGTGGGGTGTGCACGGCGGGGCTCGGACAGGTCACGTCTGCACAGACGTGGGGCGAACCACCCAGGGGAGGGGGCATGCGAACAGACGGCGGAGAGGCGGGGCGCGGGCCTGACTGGGCAGGTGGGGAAGCCCGGAAACCCAAGGCAGGACCTGCTCTGAGGAGGCAGGAGAGGTGCCCACAGACCTCTGGGGGGGGAAAAGGTCTGGGCTCTGGCCTTGGGTTGGCACCGTGGGGCCGCTGGGGGCCAGGGTTGGAGTCTGGGGAGCCCTCGGGCTGTTGAAGGGGACGGGGGGGGGGGGGGTCGCTGAACCAGGGAGGGGGCCCGGCGTGCCCCACGTGGGTGGAGCCTGGGTCAGCCGAGGTCCAAGCACGCGGACTGGGTGGGAGCCGACCCGGGGCAGACGGGGAATGACAGGGAGGACAGGGCAGCGGGTCCCGGGTCCCGGGCCTGGGGGGCACACCCCGCCCCTCCCCGGGCAGGCGCTCACCACGGGGATGTGCAGCTTGCTGAGCGGCTTGCCGTCCAAGAGGTAGGAGCCGGTGTAGGTGACGTACTCGGCGTAGCACTGCGGCGCCTGCGGGCTGATGTAGCAGAGGATCTTGCGCTTCTCCTCGATCTTCTTTCTGATCTGCAGGTACTCGAAGTACGGGTTGGACCTGTCGCTGTGGTAAGGCTCGATGGCGTCCAGCTTGATGGCGTCCACGATGGCAGCCAGCGTCTGCTGGATCACCTCCCGCGTCTGACGCGTGGACGTGTGCATCTGCTGGGCCAGCTGCTGGCTGGAGCGCTGGAAGCGGCGTTTGCGCGGGTGCTGGGCCTGGGGGTCGTCATCCTCAGAGCCGCGGCCCTTGGACCTGGGGGTGGGTGCAGCTGCAAGCTCCTTCTCGCTGGGGGGCGAGCTCTGCTTGTGCTGGTTGGCCAGCATCTGGGCCCGGGTCCTGGTCATGCGCTGGGGGGTCTCCTCCACCTTGGGCGCCTTTGGGGCTTCTGCTGCCGGCTTGGGTTCCGCTTCGGGGGCTTCAGGCTGGACGCCGTCCGGAGGCCCCTCGAGCCCGGCACGGTCCTGGGGGCCGGCCCCATCCGCTGCGCGGGCCCGGGCCGAGCCGTCCCCGGGGGCGTTGGGAGCGCTGTGGGGCACGGCCGAGGGGTCTGGGCCCTGGGCCTGCTCGTCCCCACCCCCCGGTGGATGCTGCTCTGAGGGGGCTGGCGTGGGCCCGGAGCCAGGGTCGGAGTCCTCGGGGGCCCTCCCCTCCGGCCCGGCCCCGGCCTCCACCGTGGCCTCGGGCAGCGCGACTGGCTTTGGCTCCTCTGGGGGCTCAGGCGCAGGCTCGGTCGTGAGCCGGGCGGCCACCTGGTCAGGAGGCAGCACCAGCTGTTCGTCAGCAGCTGCCACAGCTGCCACCGAGACACCCCCGCCGCTCGGGAGCGCGGGCGTGTCGTCCAGAGGAACGAGAGGCCTCTCTTCCACAGGCCCTGCTTCGACGTCGGGAACATCCTTCGTCTGGAGAGGAAGCTCCGGCAGCGAGAAAGGCCCCAGGTCGAGGTCATCGTCGGCGGCGGGGAAGGCACCGGGCCAGGGCACCGGCTCCACCTGGCCGAGGGCAGACAGGCTGCGACCACTTTCCGGGAAGTTGTTGTTCTCCAGGGGACCCAGGGCCTCCACCTGAGCCACGGCTGTCACGCACGCAGGCTCGGGGGGCGCGTCCGGAAGGGACGTGCAGTTACTGAAGAAGGGCTCCAGCCTGGAGGGAGGGGCGCACGCGGCTGGCCCTTCTGAAGCAGAGACCGCGGCCGGGACTGCTGCCCCGGCCTCGCCCTTGACGGCCAGTCCCGGCTCGGGGACCGACAGAGGGTATGAGACGGGCGACACCGGGTAAGGGGGCTCCGGGTGGAGAGACTCGGCAGGGCAGAAATGTTTCGGGGACTCCGGGAATCTCTGTGGGGACTT